GAGCGGAGTCGGTGGCGGCGGACGCGATGGCATGGTTGTAATAATAATAATAATATTAGGAAGTGAATGCAAATGGTGATGTTAACCATTCATGAGAGAGAGAGAGAGAAAAAAAAGAGTGACTAGTTTGGTTTCCTTGGCCAACCAATATTGTGATAGATAAATGGGGAAATGAAATAAATAATTAAAGCCATGCTTTTTAAGATAAATATTTTAATTATCCTCAGATTCCTTTTTTAAATTTAAATAATAAATGGATGCATACGAGGTGAGTGAGTGAGTGAGTGTGAGTGTGATAGTTTAAGGTTCAAATGTTTGGAGGGACTTCGCATTTCCCATTCCCACTTGTGTTACATAAGGTAAAAAATCTACCACCAACCCATGGAATCAAAATACTACAACAATAATTACTACTTCACTTCCTTTCCATCTTCATCATTTTATGCTAAACTGTTTCGTCACTCTCAAGAATTACACAACAAAAACAAAATAGGTCAAATCACTTTGAAAATCATTCTTGAATTGGTCCTCACAGTTTAGATGACTCAAGAAAACGAAATGAGCAGAAAAATAAACGATCATGAATACGTCAAGTTGCTAAAAGTAAAAGTTGATAGAGATTAGTCACACCAATAATAGTTTAAGCTTTTTATTTTTATTAAAATAAATTAAGACTAATGAAATTTTACATACTTACACCGATACAACAGTGATAGACTCTTTTGCTTTTATTAAAAAATATAATAATAATAATAATAATAAAGATTAAATTTAAATTATTATGCATCTTTTTCTCTTAATTTGAATAATATTAAAAATGTCATTCTTATATATAATTCATTTTTATCATTATAAATAATTTTAACTTATAATTGCCCGTTTAAGTATATTATGTAATATAATGTACATAAATTTGTCTCCTATAGGGAGAATGCAGCCAATTTAATAAAAAAAATATTTAAGACTTGTAGTAAAAATATAAGTATGATTTAAATAGTATTAGTTGGTGCGTAAGTGTCATATTTAAGGATATTAAAGATGAAGGCAAAAGCCCGCCAGCCGTGGTAGAGATTCATAAATGATATCATATGATAGTGGTATGTAAAGAGAACAAAATAATTTCTTGAGCTAGGAAAGCCAATTTGCATTGATTTAGATAATTGATAAGAGTGGTCCTATATCTTTCTTTTTTCCTTTACCAAAAGATTTTGTGGATGGTGGATACAGATAATTTTAAGATTTTATTCATGTTTATTCAACCTTTTTTCATATAAAAATGAATAAGTTACATTATACTTTAAATTGTAGTCTTTAGGTTTCGATATATGGCATTGTCAGTATATTTAAATTAAAATTCTTTAAATTTATATTTTTAAATTAAGTAAAATTTTAAATTTATTTTCATTTTTTATAAATGTTAAAATACTTAAATTTTTATTCTTATATAAGTCAATTCTTATATATTAAACACAAATAATTTTTTTATAAAATAACGTTTTTAAAAGTTATTTTTTCGATGAGAACGTTTTTAGATATTGTTTTAACTTTTTATTAAATTTTTTATTCATCATATTCATTTATGAGTTAACATTTAATATCTTTTTAAAAAAAAATTATCAATAATTAAAATAATATTATGTTGCAACAAAAAAAAATATAATTTATTGATTCAAAATTTTAAATATATTTATATATTCAAATATATTATATATTTTTATTTTAAATTTTAATTATATAAATAAACATTTAACATTTACATCGCATAAGTTTTAAATACTAATATTTATAATTTAAGTATTAAATGACAACAAAAACGAGAATTTGAGATTTTGAATCCAAATTTAAAATTTTAGTGAAATTTTGATAAGATTTTATAGAATTTGATAATATAGTTTAAAGAATAAAGAGAGAAATTTGTATATGTTATTTTGAGTACAGATTAATTTAATTAGTATTTTTGAATAAAAAGATTTAAAACAATTTATTTCATACAATTATTTTCGAAAATTTTAAATAGAAATGAAAGTACAGTAATTTTAAATTAAAAAAATTGATATAAATTAAATTTGTTTAATTTAAAAATAGACATATTTAATCAATATAAAAAATTAAAACTAATTTCAATAATAAGGGCTTAGGGAGCAAACTGCATTTAAACCTTTTATTTATGGTGTAAAAAAAATTATTATTTATAATATAGTTGTATTTTGTGATATCTTTTATTCCACATGCATAAATTTAATGTACATGATACTAATTTTTCTAAATAAACTAAAATTCAAGGTAAAAGTTTCATATTAAACTTGAATCTCCAAAATATAAAATTAGGTCTAAAAGGAAATACAATGAATGTTAAGCTAATGTTTAAACAACTTTATGAAAAAAATCTAAAACCCTAATGTAATTAATAATAGAAAATATTTTCCTAACTAATGTCTTGATGTCACATCCTATCAAAAAAATTCTTAGCACAAAATTTGAACATTCATTATCATAATCAAATTTACTTGCACATATACAACAAAATGAAACACCAAAAGAAAATGAGAGTGAAAAATATTTCATTATGACTACTAGTGTATGAAATAGTAAGATAGTCACACACATATAGTAAATATAATATTGAGCATACATATGATTCATCAACAATTACTCCATTCATAACTTATATAAATCGAGATAATATTCATTAAGTCAAATTCCATAGAGTTATTAGACATCACATTTCAACATATATCAACCTCATAATTTAAACATTATGGGTATATTATATGTTCATGCAAAAACAAAACTCTCTTAACTACGTGCATATACTATTAGTAAAATCACTTTATCTTTGCTTTAAGGCTGAATATACTAGGAGGTCATGCTGACTCGAGTCATCATAACACTCTACATTAAAAAAAAATACATTAGTGGTGCGTCGAGATAGTTATGTTGGCCAAGTTTCACCCCTTATACACAATGTGGTAGGATTGAGACTCCCAAACTTAGTTATCTTTGAGGGCATGGGTTCCCAGACTTTACACAAGGGGGATCCCCATCACAAAAACACATAATGCAAATGATGTATGCTATACAAACTCTATGCATGGTCCTATAATTCACATTCACAACCTCACATTTACATGATTTCACATTACATGAGTCACATCACTGTTAGGTCATTCACCTAGATTTTCACACTGTTAATGTATATTTAGGCTTAGTCACATAATCATTTACACTTTTGTCACATATCACATATCTCACAATTTCAAAGACACACATTAACATCACATACTTTCTCAATTGTCCACACTACACAGATAATTCACTTATCTCAATCAATTAATTCACATGGTTTATTAATCAAGGTTAATCTCATTAGTTATCAATTACACATTTTTTAGTTGAAGACACAGGATAGCACCTAATGTGGGGTGTCCAACACTTGGTACAATATCAATAATAAAAACCTTTTATACATAATTTGTTAATCACTCTCATATCAAGTCTCAAAACTTACACAAATTTACATAAGAGAAGGGTATCTATAGTTTAATTCATTCATTCTTATTTAGGGGTTTTCTATTTGTAATTGCTTTTCCAATATTTTGTTTAATCTCAAAATCTCATGGTTACTAAGAGAAATCACAAACAGACATAGATTCATATTTAGGGTAAAATCCATATATTAGAAACATAATTGCAATGTAACAACATAATTAGAAAGAAAGGAACCACAAATTCACATTATAATCACAAGCATGTTTTGGATTTAATCCTTCATACATTCAAACACAAACAATGAGATTGAGGATCAATCTTGTTACCATATAGACAACTCACACTTGGAGTGAGGTTCTCACTCTCCCTTCCCCTTGATGGATGTCAAAGTCTTGATTGGAATCTCCAAGTTCATTTAGAGTAGTCTCTAGTTCTTTCTCCTCTTCAAATTACAAGATATGTGTTAAAAGTGTTTTCAAGACAACTTTAGTCTCACTAACATATTTATACAAAAATATTATTCCTAACCAGCGTGTAATTTGTCGGCACAACTTGTCAATTATTTATCTTTTAAAAATTTAAAAGGTTATCCTTAATAATTATTTTTCTGAATATATTCTCTTATAAATCAACTCTAATATATTACATACAAATAGTTATATTGCATAAGAGTATTTTTAAGAGTTTTTCTTCAATGAGAGGGTTTGTAGCATTTTTTTTTAACTTCTTACCTAATTTGATTTTTATTTGTCATAATTATTTATTAATTAAATATTAACACATTAAAATAATTTAGCAATAAATATTTTTTTACAATACAAATTATTTTTCATAAATTTAAAATATAATTTATTTGTTTAAAAATATTTATATATACTTATTTTAAATATAATTTATATATTCAAATATAATATTTATATATATATTTTATTATAAGCATAAACTAAAATACTAGTAACACTTATATCTCCAATTCATTAATTAATTTTAAAATATTATTTTTTTAGATGAGAAAATAAAATTTCCTCAATTACTCACCACCTAAATCTCACCTCTTTTGATTAAATAATTATTTTTAAAAAATTATTAATTTATTATGAAAACTTTTGAGATGTTATATATTATTCACTAATTATACTAAGATAAGTTAAATAAGTAAATCTTTTACCAAATAATATATATTTTTCAATAATTTTATTATATCAACTCTTATATATTAAATACAAATAACTATTTAAAATAAAAATATTTTTACAAACTTTTCTCCAACAAAAAAGTTTTTACTATAATTTTTATAATTTTTTCATCTAATTCAGTTTTTATTTATTATAATTATTTATAAATTAAAATTTAAAATTTTAAAATAAATTATCAATAAATAAAAATAATTTATCATTCTATATAAATTATTTA